GAATTCAACCCAGCATATGTTCAAACTGATATTTGGTTCATATAGCAAAACTGTGTCCTCACTTGGTCTTCAACCTAAATATTAAAGGGTTCAATTTCTTTTATTGCCAAAAACAAAATTAGCTTTTCAGAAAAAGAGAGAGAAAAATATTAGTGAACATAACAAATCAAGACCATTCAGATTGTCTTATAAAAAAAATAAATTGAAAACTGAAATTTTAGTCAGTTAAATGATCAACTCCGATCCATTGATTTTTCTTAGATCATTGTAACCATATGGGTATCCTGCAACCATGGGGTGTGTGAACACTTTTCTTTTTTGTTTTTTGAAAAAAAAAATAATTTAACAAACTTGTAACATTATTTTATAATATGCATGTGATTGCCATGTTGCTTGTTACCTGTTACCTGTTATCTGTTATTTATTATCTGCTGCCACTTCCTTTTCATGTAAAATAACAATAATAATAAGAAGAAAAATGATGCAGACAACTAATTATATGAACCAAATATCAGTTTGAACTAAATTTGAAATATCAGTTTGAACTAAATTATATGAACCAAATTATAATTTGAAAAAATATATTTGAACTAAATATGTGGTTCATATAATAAGGGAAGAAATATCTATATAATAAGGGAAGAAACTAAGTGCAAGAGGATATATGAGAACTAAGTGTATGTTATATAAAAATTTGACTGTGCAGAATTTGAATTCAACCCAGCAGTTAAAAGTGCAGAATTTGAATTCAATAACTTTTGAACCCAGCAATTAAGAACCCGGCAGATCATACAGCATTTATCATACTTAAATTTAGAGAGGTACAGCATATATCATTTATCATATATCATACAGAGGTTCATGTAATACCACTTGATATTGCTGGGTTCAATATCATGTTTTAAAATTATCTTACAGTTATGTTTTCAACTCTATTAAAGTCATGTTTTCAAATATCATGTTTTCAAAACTATAGTTAAGAACCCAAGCATAATTTCTTTTGAACCCATAATTTCTTTTCCATACAACTATAGTTATCATTCAAATCAGCACACAGAATTTCTTTTCCATAATATAGTTATAATATTTTAACTATAGTTATCATCCACAAATCTGCAAATCTGCACAAACTATATTTTAACTATAGTTTCCATAATATCATCCACAAATCTGCACAACTATAGTTATAATATCATCCAGAATTTCTTTTGAACCCAGAATTTCTTTTGAACCCAATGTATATATCATTCAAAATCCAAACCCAAAAACAAAAAAACAGAAAAACAGAGCAAGGAAATGGAACCACTTAAAAAAACAAATGCAATTAAAAGAACATTTTAGCTCACAGACTAGGTTGTCAAAACTTCTATTATTTTCATTTTTTTTCCCCCGAAGGCAAATGAAATCAAATTATGAATCGGATATATGACATCGACATCGACATATCATATGAATCGGATATATGACATCGACATATAATCCAAGTAGCAACAGGAAGTTGCATATTCTTTTCCAACCTTCTCAAATCAATTTTGCATGTTATCATCAAATGCTATAACAATATATACAATACACACCTCACTATTTGCTTCTCTCAACTCTGCAGCAGTATATTTTCACGAAGGGAATGGAAAGCTATTTGCAGTAGCAGTATTTGCCATTACTCTGCAGCAGTATTTGCCAACCTCTTTTCTAAATGGGAAGGTTTTTGAATGGGAATGGGAAGCTCTTTTCTAAACCATTACTCTGCAGTCGTATTTGCCAAGCTTCACATCTCATCAGGCAGAATATGGGAAGGTAGATAGAGTGTATGAGAAGACAGATGGTAGACAGAGTGTATGGGGGAGACAGGGGATATGGGGGAGACACAGAAATGTGTTGGGCGAGAACTGTGAGCCATTGATATAAACTTGGGAGCAAATCTTAACCATTGATATAAACTTGGGAGCAAATCTCAGCCATTGGATCAAAATGTATCTCACATACATTTTTGACATAAATTCAAAAGCCTTTGTAACTTATTATATAGACTAGTGTATACCCGTGCCTAAAGACACGGTGTCAATAATGTTTTGTTTGAATAATTTTTATTTATCACTCTCTTAAGCTAGGAACATTGAGAATCAAGTATACCTAAAATTCTGTTTTCCCATGACATACAAAAAATGAATAGATAACATACATTTGAGCAAAAGGATCCCCTTTATTATAGACACAACTTCAAAATAAGAGGAACAATAAAATGGTGTTCTCCCTTTCGAGCACACCATGCCAATACGAAAATAGTATTCTTGATCAAAATCTAAATAACAAACACCTCCAAATGTCTACCTCTCAAACCAAACCAAATCTATATAAATTTACACAACGTCAATCTGCCTCTAAATAATCTTTAACTTAATACAACGTCAATCATTTTCAAAGTTTGTCAACGATAAAACCAAAAATAGTGTAAATTCTGCCATCAAGATTGTTGCTCACTCGAGATTGCCCCTCTTTCAACACTCATCAATCAAAGAAGTACACGTTTAGTTTACACAACAATAAATACAAAATCATTAGAGAGATAAGAAAAACTTAAGCTCAAAAAAATGTAGACCTGTAAAAAATGAGTCAATATTACCATTCGCTTCTAGTCTTCAATTCAAAAAGCCAATATAAGTCAATATTACCTATGAAATACAGAAAAAAACCAATATGATAATTAAAAGAGACTATCCAATTCAAAACAAACACATGCACTGTCACACTAATGAAAGGTTTTTTATAGACCACCCAATTCAAACTAAACACAAACATTGTTGCAAAATAATAATTGGTTACCCAATGCAAACACTACGAACAAACACAACACATTGTCAACACAGATACAAATTAATGATTGATAAAAACATTAATTTACAAAAAGCAATCAATCTTTTCTTTGGGTTTTATTTTTTTCAACTCTTTCTTTTTGGAACTTCCTTTAATTGATCATATAAAGTTATGGGGAAAATTTAAGAAAGAAGTGTTCTGAAGAAAGAATTTAATAAAATAAAATTCAAAAAGCAAACTCTTCACATGGTAATTCAACAACAAATTCTAACTAACTTAATTCCTCCATCATTTACAAATCAATACAGCCTAAAAAAACCCATTTATTTTGTCCGAAAACCCAAAGCCATTAATTATATCAATTTAGTCCTATCAGTTTTGTGTATGTAACCCTCCATCACCTTCTTCAATCTTCACCTAGACCGATTCAGATTCATTTTGCTTCCAACCTTAAATTAATTTTGAATATTTGTTAGCAATACATGACCATAAGCAAAATATCAAACCAACTCCTTTGGATCTATTTGGTTAGCTCATGGGTGGCAACAAACAAAATTTAGATTGAAATTAAATAAACTATAAGACTAAATGATATAATAAAATTCAATAGATAAAACAACAAATCAACAACATACAGTAAGGGGACAATTGTTTACAGTCTTAAAAAGTAATAGGCAATGCAGAAACATATATATATATTTTTTTATCACAGCTTACCAATCCCCACTCCCAACTAAAGGGGAAAAAAATAGAAAAACACAAAAAGCCCAATAAATATAGGAAAATCCATATCAGTATTTAAAGAGTATTTAGCAAACTTAGAAGTATTTATAGATTCGTATACATTTATGAGTATTTAGCAAACAATAGCAAAACTCATAATATAGAAAAACCCATTTTATAAACAAAAAATTAGTACCCATTTCAAAAATTAACACCCATTTCTCATTAAAGAATCAAACATTTCATTAACTCTGTGTGTGTGTGTGTGTGTGTGTGTGTTGAGTCAGTACCTTTGAGACCCAAAAATAGTAGGAAGTGTCTGGTTCATCCTCCTCAGTCACAACATATAAAAAAGAAAAAAGAAAAAAAAAGTCACTAAGATTACTTGCCTCCAATTCTTAACTAATGTCTGATTCTCTGCCCTTTCATGAACTTTCTCAATAAGTCATCCTCTTTCTCCGAGGCCAAACACTATTCTTCTCTCATTGAACCAGTTTCTGCTCATCATCTTCCAAAACAGCTTGGCATGCAGAACCGGAATTAGAGGTTAGCGATATTTAGATGATTGTTTAAACACCTCTTGGCATAATGTTGTTTTAAATTGGGGTTATGTTCCTGACAGAAAATTGACTATATGGTCAAGAATTATGTGATAAAATATTGAATTTGGTTTATAAACATGTCTATTCTAAGCAAAAGGAGCTTATTCTAGCTTGAATGAAACAGAACTTTGATATTTGTTCATAACTATGTGATCTCAAAAGTACTGTACACATACCTTATTTGTTTGTTAGAAATCAAAATCTAATTATGGAAATGGCTGTGAAATTATGTTATTTATTTTTGAGTTGAACAGAAAGGTCTGGAACCATTATTCTAATATTGCTTTCTTAGTTGGAGAAAATTGTGGCCAAAATTGCCCATTGATGTTACAGGGCGTCTGGGTTATTATTAGACCAAAATGGGAGCAATCCCTCTGGATGTCTTTTTATTCTTTATTTTTTATAGCAACACTCTGAGCTTTTGTGGATTCTGATTTCATTCTTGTTTTGAGAGGGAATTGGAGTTTAACATATCCCTCAATACTTTTCTGTCTCTCAAGGCATTTGTGTCCCTCTCAAATGTAACAAATCCCATACTGCCAAGTATTTGTTAAGTGTATTCCTATTATAAAAAGTGGTTGTTATTCCTATTATGTATTCCTAAAATGAATGCATACCTTACACTTCCATGTATTATTTTTGTGTGTTCCTGTTATGTTGATGCAGAATCTATAATGTCTTTAATGGCCATAAGTTATGGCAGTTTGTGTGTTCCTGTGTTCCTGAAGGCATTGACAACAATTTTTTTGATATCATGTGCTACGAAACTCAATGGTAATAAATCAATTCAAAATGATAATATTACTCCGATTTAAAACTTCACCTATAAGAAACTGAAATTGTTTCTACACATTGAATTAGCGAAAGCATTTATAAATTTCAAATATCAAATTTTAAAATTAAAGTCCAAAAAATGAATTATATATTTCAATGTAACATAAGCAAAGAATCTAGAAATATTAAAAGTCCAAATAGCAAATTTTAGATTTTTATCCACGTCAAAATAACACATATACACTATAGCAAGTTAGAATGGGATAACCTTCAATAAAAAAACATTATTGAATTAGTATCATAACTGGTAACGTTTTTGCATTATCAAATTTCAATGCCTTCAAATAAAGGTCAATGAACATTTTGGTACAAAACAATCATCCTAGCTAACCCAAAAAAAAAAAATTTTAAAAAATTAATCATTTTGTTTAGAATGAGAGAGCCAACCAACCACACACATGTAGAAGCAACGTAACCCAACGTTTCTAATATGGATCAGTCAGCTGCAATAAAATCAATCGTTTAAATTCGCTTTAAAAAACCAATAGCTATGAAAAATTACATCAAAATACATATGAGAAATCGGAAGAAATTGTAATGAAGAATAATTACATCAAAAGAAACTGTAACATGAAAAATCGTATCAAAATACATATGAGAAATACAAAAATCAATAACTATGAAATAAGAAGAATTAAACATAACTATTATGGTCAACTGAATTATGTCATTCAATGGTGAAGTGAGAATAGACATATGTATGCATTACTAAAGTAAACAAATGAATAGAAAAGCAAATAAATCATACAAACTTCCAAATAGAATTAAACTCAAATTTTGTAAGGGGAGCGAATAATTAAACTCAAATTTTATTAAGACTAAGAGTCTTGTTATAAGGAAGAAGAATTTTTGAAAGCTGTAAAACCAAACAAAATTAAATTTTAAAACAATTAAAGCTTACCTTGTGCGAAGATCCTTTTTTGGATGATCATGCTCCTTTGAGTTTCTATCCCTGTGATAATGCATATCTCATTTTCTAGTTGAAGCATTATGTATAACAATTAGTAGGCAACACAAAAAGAATCAAACTTGAAATCAATGTTAATGGACAAATCTAACTAAAATTAAACCTAAGGTTCATTAAATAAAATTAACTGTACTATTTTTTTAAACAAAGATCAAAACCAAATACTTATAAAAGATACTTACCACAACTGAAAAATGAAAGAGAGAATGAAACTGAATGAAACAGAACAGTTAGAAAGAGAATGAGAAAAACATAATTAATACTCCAAATGATATAAATAGAATAGTTACATAGGGGAACTAAATTAAACAAAATAAAGATAGGTTTCCGAAAATCAGTACATGAAAATTGATTTTAGAAACTCATTTAGAAACCCATTATAATAATTGCGTTGGTTCATTTATCATTTTCATATTTTTGAAATCAAAACCATTTAGAAACACATTTAAATCTAACCCATTTTAAAAAATCATTACATGAAGATAGGTTTCTAAAATCTAAACCATTTCAAAAAATCATTACATGAAATTCACGGCTTTTCCTCACCTCATACCCAACACCACCTTTGCCTCAAACCAATTAATTGACCTGCCTACTAAAAAAAAGAAAAGAAAAAGGGATTAGTTAGTTTGTATGCTTTGTAGGTGATTGATAACATGCTAGTTATTAAGTGAGGATAGAGAAAAGTGAAAAAATAAAACTTTATTATAAACACGCCTAATAAAACTTAAGAATATAAAACTTTATTGATAGCCCGTGCCTGAAGGCACGTATACGATAGAGTGTAATTTAATTAGGGATTAATTTATTTATATAGATATATTAGAAAACTGGGCCAAAGTGTAATTATCTTAAATATTTATTGAAGATAAGTATAAATCCATATAAATTATGATCAAATTTGTTGGAGGATTCGCGCTGGCCATATGCTGGATCGAAATCCTGCCTCAGCTGCCAAAAATGGATCGAAGAAACCGAGAAAATTTTGAGGATTTTTTGGATTGTGGTGGTTGTTGAAAAAAAAGAACTTTCTGATCCATTGTAATTCTTGGGAAAAAAGACAGAGATGTAGAGATTGTTACACAACTTTAGAGAGGGAGTGGCTTCTATCGTGAAAGGTAGGTTCATTTTTTCCATATTCTTGGCGTTTACCCTGAAAGGTAGGTTCATTTTTTCCATATAAAGTCTGGGTATCAATGTGGAAAATTTTGACATTTCCATTTCAACTTCATTTCCTTCACTAGTAACGATCCATAGAAAAGCAAGCAATTCATAGAGCCAAATTTTTACAGGTGTAACAACTCGAAAATTTAAGTTGTCCCTTAAATTTTGTACTTGTATTATGGTTGCATGTGATGATATATTAGGAAATAAATAAATAAATACAGAATCACAATTGACATTGGATTATCAAATATGGGATTAAATTGGGATTATTATTTGGGGCCAAATTAATAGAAATATGGAATTATAATACTTGTTGGGCGAAATTAAAGTTAATGATAGTAAATAAATAAAGATAAAAGCATGAGTAAATAAAGAATAATATTGATAACAACAACAACAACAATAACAACAACAACAACAACAACAACAACAACAACAACAACAACAACAACAATAATAATAATAATAATAATCGGTGTGGTAGTATAATAAATAATTAATTTTCTGTTAGTATACGATAGAGTGTAATTCAATTAGGGATTAATTTATTTATATAGTTATATTAGAAAATCGGGCCAAAGTGTAATTGTCATAAATATTTATTAAAGATAAGTACAAATCCATATAAATTATGATCAAATCTGTGGGAGAATTCATGATGGCCACGTGTTAGATTGAAATCCCGCCTCAGCTGCCGAAAATGGATCGAAAAAACCGAGAAAATTTTGAGTATTTTTTGGATTGTGTTGGTTGTTAAGAAAAAAGAACTTGTTGATTCATTGTAATTTTTGGGAAAAAAGGTAGAGATGTATAGATTGTTACAAAACTTTAGAGAGGGAGTGGCTTTTATCGTGAAAGGTAGGTTCATTTTTTTCATATTCTTGGCGTTTACCCCGAAAGGTAGGTTCATTTTTTTAATATAAAGTTGGGGTATCAATGTGGAAAGTTTAGACATTTCCATTTCAATTTCATATCATTCACTAGTAACTCTCCATAGAAAAGCAAGGAATTCATAGAGCCTAATCCTTACAGTTGTAACAACCCGAAAATTTAAGTCGTCCCTTAAATTTTATACTACTATTATGATTGTGTGATGATATATAATTAAATATATAACAATAAAAAGAGAATCTAATTTTGCATTGGATTATAAAATATTGGATTAATTAGGAATTATTATTTGGGGCCGAATTAATAGAAATATGGAATTATAATATTAGTTCGGCCAAATTAAAGTTAAAGATAGTAGATAAATAAATATAAAAGCATGAGTAAATAAATAATAATAATAATAATAATGGCTGTGGTAATAAAATAAATAATTAATTTTCTGTTGGTATACGATAGAGTGTAATTTAATTAGGGATTAATTTATTTATATCGTTATATTAGAAAGCTGAGCCAAAGTGTAATTATCTTAAATATTTATTGAAGATAAGTACAAATCCATATAACCACGTGTTTTGTCTTCATTGGAGCGTGTCTGTGACGCGCCTGAAAACTGTCTGTCATTTGTCTGCGCCGTCTGACGCCTGCGTTGTTCCAGGCGTAATAATTGCCCTAACTTTGCCGCCATTTCAAATTTTTGACAAAACTCTTTTTTGCCTTTATTTTTCCTTCACTTTTTCATTCTGATTTCTTGCTCTTTCTCTCTCCGAAAGCTCTTTCTTCTTCGAATCTGTCATCGCTTCGATCTCTCTTCTGGAACTGTCCTTAATCTCCCATTCTTGTGAAGCTTTCTTTGCTGTTGCAACCGATTTCTGAGCTCGGCGAACATTGCCCCGGCTTCATCTGTTCTGGTAAGATCCTTTCCTTTCATTCTTAATTTCCTTTATGCGCTTTTATCATTACTGCTTTGTTGCTCGATTTCTCTCATATTTTGAACATTTGTACTGTTTCAATATTTTTCTTGCCATAATTCTTGACCTTTATCCCTTTGTATTCTTCGTGTTTCTGATAGTCCATCTTTGTTCTTGAATCTGAAACTTCGTCTTTGTTTTCTCTTTTTTGTATCTGTCCCAGATCTGTGCCTTCGATTTTGATCTTTATAGTTCTTAGGTTTGGAATTTGTGCGTAGAACCTTCAAATTTAGGGAAAACTGAAACAAGCCTTATCAGCCCTTTCCTGGGTCTTTGCCGAGGTTCCTGTAACCCTTTAAAAACGCTCATCTTCTGAAACATATTTTAAGCTGACATAATGGGTATGTGGAGGCATAGGGTAAATACCCCAACAAAACTTGAATACTTTAGGCAGGAATTCTCTATCCCAGCCGATGTTCACCTTAAGCTAGCTGGGGATAATGATACCATCATGCCCACAGATCATACAATGCCTTTTCCTATAGTTGTTTTTACCGAATGTGGACTTCGGCTTCCACTTCACCCACTTTTTCGTGAAGTTCTTTATTTCTACAGGCTGAACCCTATGCAACTTACTATCAACTCATATAGGGTGATTAACGGTATTATAGCTTTAGCTAGGCAGGAGAATCTTAGAATCACCCTGGCCGACCTTCAGTACTGCTATACCATGTGTCCCCTCAACCTGAAGGATAGGGGCTTCGTTTATTACCTTAAGCCGAGATCCACCCAGTTTAAAATTGTAGCCGACCTTCCAGACTCCAACAAGGGGGCTGGAGATGACTTTGTTATTGCGTCGGGAAATTGGGAATTTGGCCCAGACGAAGATGTCCACCTCTACCCTCTTCCTCGAACAATTTCAGAGGGCAAGGGTAAGAGCCCTGAGCCAACACTTAGTTGTTTTTATTTAAGTCTTTAATACTTTCTGTTTCTGACATCTGTTTCTTTGTCCTGCAGATCTTCATCAGCCACCGAAAAACTTCCGCCAATCCTTCATCCCAAGAACAGATCTGAAAAAACTCCTTGACCTTCCAGTCCACAAACGAAAAGCCCCATTGTTACTAAACTTTATCCCTACATATAAATCCACTTTGCCCGACATCCCAAAAAGGAAGAAAAAGAGTCTCTCTCCACCTACTGCTACAACTGCAACCGCTTCCTCATCCCGAACAGACCAGGGATCCACCTCTGACCCAGCCGATCTTCCATCAACTTCGGCCCCCTACTTAATACCAATTCCGGAACGTAAACGTCGACGAAGACTTGTAAAGACTGCCGAGATGGTTCGTCCAAGGCCTGTCGTTCAAGATCTTCTTGCCGACCTTCCAACTGACGCCGAGGCTGTACCAACGCAATCAACGCTCCCACCAAAGCCAAAGAGAGTTAAAAAGGCTCAGCCCAAGGCCAAGGCTACAGACGCCGAGGCTGAGGATGCTTTGCCTATTTCTAAGCTGGCAGAAGGCAAAAAATCCACCTCAGCTGCCACCAAGAGATCTGCTGAGGGCCAACCCTCAGGGTCTACACAATCTAAGAGGCCAAGGTCATCGTCCGCAACGACCTCGGCGTCAAAGAGGCCCGACGTTCCGTGGGCTCCTGAACTAACTCTGGAGGATAGACCCATCATGGCCAGTGAAAGTGCCGACGATATTAATGTTGGTGTCGCCCTCAACACTGCTCTTCTCCTTCCAAATGATTTGGAGCGAAATGCTAAGCTTAGCGAGTATGAGAATTACGCTCTCATGCTCCAACACTCCGTTCAAGTAAGTGTTCCTGTTTGCACTTGCGATTTTCTTTCTGTTTCCTACTGGGAATATTTTCTAACACTTCTGTTTTTCCTTAGGCCATTCAGCATGCCCATTCATTTTCAATGCAATCTTTTGAAAACCGGCAAAGATTGGTTGATATGAAGAGGGAAGCATCTTCCATGAAGAAGGAGATCAGATCTCTTGAATTAAGGATGAAAAAATTGGAAGATCAAGCCGAGGCGGCTACTAAGGCCCAAACTTTAGCTCTTGAGAAGGCCGAATCCGCTGAGGTCGTGAAAAAAGTTGCTGAGGCCGAGAAAAGAGATGCTGAGGCTAAGAAGGCCCAAGCGGAGAAAGAACTTCAGCAAGCTCTGGCCACCAAAGAGGCCGAAGTCAAAGAGGCCGACGAAAAGGCCTATGCCCAGGGCATGGCCGACGTCGCAGAGGACTACAAACTTCAAGTTAGGCAGGCATGCAACAGGGGATTTTCCCTTGGTTGGATGTCCCTGATAAAGAAAACTTGATCTCCCTGTTGACTCGCCCTTTCGTAATGCCAATGCCATTCCTTTACCATTTCCTCCTCCAAGTCAGGTTGAATCAGAGACTGAGGCTGATGCCGAAGATGAGGATGAAGGAAAAAATGATGATGAGGCCTTGGTGAGAAAACCCAAGGATGCTGCTGAAGCTAATGAAGAGAAAAATGATGATGAAGCCTTGGTGAGGAAATCCAAGGATGGTGCTGAAGCCAAGTCCCCTCCTCCTGCTGGGCAGGTTATGGACTTAACCTTGGATGAGGAGGGTGATGAGGTTGAGGGGGCAACCAAGGAAATTGTCACTGGGCAGCTATCGTCCGATCTTCTCTTGATAGAAAGAAGTGTTGAGACAACAATCGCAGAGATTGATGCCGAGATACAAGCGGAGAAAGTGGCCGACGAGGTACCACCAGAATCGTCCGAGGTCCC